TATTTCTCTATCAGAAGGTGCAGAAAAAAGCTTCTCTGCATATATATATATATATATATATATATATATATATATATATATATATATATATATATTACTATTTTGAGCTCCTTTGATGCTTCTTGGCATTTAGATTACTAAGAATTTAGTTAGATGCTTCTCTGAGACTATATCTTCCGTCAGGGAGATTCGCACCAATAAACGACGCACGACGCTTATTTTTTGTAGCCAATAGGGGGCAATGTTCTTATGACGGAATCTGGCATGAAACGCAGACTGGAAGGAGGGTGGCGGTCTCTGGGCTTTTCTTGAATTTTGCACCGGGAAGGAATGTAACCGGGGCCCCCGAAGAATGTGGTTGTGTTGCTTGGCCATATGTTGTGTAGTGGGAACAGCTAGGCTTCCTCTGTCCTTGTCGACCATACATTTAACGTTGATTTTCTTTTTTATTTCACGTTTGTACGCACTGCTTATGGAGATTACACCCTGACCCTGAGCCTTTCGTTCCCTCTTTAACCCCACGCCACGATGGGAAAAAAAAACGTTTTTCTTTCCGTAACTGCATTTGGGAAATAAAAATGCATCATCATTTTTCCTTTTAAAAATGATGGTGCAGTTTAATGGATATTATTATTTAGTGAAAATGTATGGTTTTTGTTTTGTTATTTTCAGTGTTTCCGGTATTCCCGTTCTATAATCAAGGATAAAGAGGTTAAAATGCTGCATTACAAAACAGGAAAGAATAAAACCAAAATAATTAAATATTGGTAATATCCAATTATTACTTTGTATAAATATTACAATTAAAATGAGATATTATAATAATATATTGCTGTAAAACATGGTTCTTAATTACCACAAAAATGGCTAGATTATTTATACATCCATTTATTTATGAAACCCACAACATTATTTTATTTAATAACGTGAAGACAGAGTTGGACTTTAACATTCAGAATATTACTCATAAATATTATGCTCCGTCCATACAAGGGTGGATTTGTACAGCTGTACTAGAGATGGTTACAGTCTGGTCTGTGAAAAGGGGTTAATCAGATTTTTAGTGTTGATAGCTGCCATGGCAACAATCAGGTGGTCTTCCCTACCCTTTTGCCAATGGTATACGATTTACAGGTTAGCTAAGATACAAGAGTTTATTGTATGGCCAATTTGAGATGTGAAACAGGAGCTGACTTAAATTATGACCGGGTGGGGTGGGGGCTCCATTCTGCTGTCGATGGGGGGGGACAAGAGCCTCGCAATGGAATAAAAAGAGTAAAATACAGAATTCACTGTTCGCGAGATATTCAATCTGCTTTGGAAAGGGAGTACGGCTTCTTCATGGATTATGCCTTTTATTTTTTGACATGTAGCCTAATTGTGCTATACGACGGTGCCCCTTTGTGTGAGCTGGTACGAAGCCTTCTTTTTGTCTCCATGAAGATGTTCGCTGGGATTATATGTAATCAGCCTTGTTGGGTAAAGTCAAGCCTGTCGAGAGGGTTGCTTTGCGGGGGGATTTTTTCTGGATATTAGGCATTACATTGTTAACTGGCCATTTGCACCGGTCAGCTCTGGTTATCTGCGGTGCTGAGGGATCCTCACCGACTGCGGTGTTTAAGTCCTGTGTCATGTTTGAGAAAAACAAAACGAAATACCATAATGGAAAACGTGTCCGTACTGTTTTGAAAAACAGCATGAAGTCTGTGATGGAGAAGTTTTTTTTTAACTCTGTACGTGAAACTTGTATGCATAAGCATGCATATGACCATACTCCTGAATATCTTAATATCAATATTTGTACAATAATATTTATCTATGGTAAATACTCAAATTCAAATAAAGTTCGGTTTATTTAAATGAAAAGTCTTTGTCTGTGATATAGACACACGCACACACACATATACTTGCGTGTTTCTGAGTTATACTTGCATACATGACATGTAATTTCATAAACCCTGGTTTTAGCTTGCTTTGACAGCCCTCTCTCCAGGTGTAATGCAGCCTACCAGTGCTAGTCATCATCTGGGCCTTATTGCAGAAGTACGTCTCGCTGTGTGTTAGAGATATGAATGGTGTCTAGTGGGCAGAGATCTCGAATGGAAAAAGAAATGAAGTCTTGATACTGTAGCCCAACCCCGAACCCGTTTCTGTTACGCCCTAATGAAGACGGACCCAGGGGTTAAACAGTAACGGCCAGGGAATCGTGACATTTTGCCCGGCGGTGATGGGCTTCCAAAAGCTCTCTCCTTAAAGAGATGTGGTTTAAAACAATGCTATCTGGGGGAAAATGGAATATAAAATAAAAAATAGAACAACCTGTGATAGGTCTGGCCTGATGTCCATATATGGTGTGGGTACGTTTGTCTGCCCTACCCCTCCCGCCCTGTTTTCGTTTTATAGAAATAACATAAAGCACCAGTGGTTGACCTGAGCAGAAAAGAAAAATGATGTTACACATTCAGAATAATTTGCTACTGTATTATAAAAATGTAACCTCAATCGGCCTTTGAAATGGATCCTGATTCTTTAAATTCTTTCCTGCCCGTCTCAGGAAATAGTGAGATCCCGGCGATAGCGAAGTACAATATGCCTAAAGTTCACTTCTGAACGACCGCCTTCTTCTCGCTGAAAGTCATCTGCATCCTCTTTATAATTCTCAGCCACCAGAGATGCTCCCTAATCTCGGAGATCTGATATCGTATCACTGGGCAAAATCCGCGATGATAATTCTGCTATTCAGATCGGGGACAAGCTCATGCAGTGGGCCTCTGCCCCCCTACCAAAACCCTGCCTCCCCCCAGTTACACCACACCCTCGCCACCCCCTCCTCCCCCCCGCCCCCCAGCCCTTCTCAAATCTCCCCCACTGGGGAGGCGGATGGTGGAACTTGGGTCCTCTCTTATGAAACCACCCATATATGGCTTTTGGGGGAGGGGGAAGAGGAGCGGAACTTGCGGTTATTAAAGTTGTTTTAATCACCAAAATAAGCAAATGATTAGCGTCTGTTATCTTTCCCCGCGCAGAAGACCAAGTGCTCCGTCCCAGTGCTGCTGAGTTCCGGCCCCCGGTGGCTTCTGGATGTGACTTGGCAAGGGGCAGAGGACAACAAGAACAACTGCGTTGTGTACAGCAAAGGTAAGCGTGCTCAAATCCCTTATCTCGCCTGCACCACGCCGGCAAAGCCACCAATAATCCAGCATTCTCCCTTTTTATGTCAGGTCATTTTGTTTCCCCACCCCCTTCCAATATTGTCACATTACACTCAAACCATGCATTCGTGTGGGGCCCCCTTGGGAGCCCCCTGCTTGTCACAAACAGTCACTACGATGGGAGAAGGCAGGGGCCCCAAAGTGATTTTTTTGAATGAGGCCCCAGAAACAACTAAACCGGCCCCTGCTTACACAATTATTAAGAATTTTATTATTTTTTTATTTTTAATAACCTGACCCAAAACACGGGTATGAAAGATGAAATTATCACCTTGTTTCTCCAGTTATTCCTTATGTGGGGTTAAGATTTCCACACTGTAAGGTAAGAAGCAACAAAGAAACAGATATGACCACAGCATTATTGCTCGTGATGAGCACTTCCTGTCAATTGTTTATGGATCAGGAGGCAGATGCAAATTGGGATTGCAGAGGACTCCGGTGTCGCCATTTATCAGTTTCAGAGTGATTACCCACGATTAGATTCCAGGACGAAATGGAGTTCCTTACTCTCCGGATGAATAAGTGGCATCTGTGGGATTTGCAACCCGGATTTCGAGTCTCCCGATTCTCAAGTACTAATCACTCGACTGCACTGGGGAGTTATCCTCTTAACCGGCTACTTAACTTTGTGCTTTTTATCACCAAATCATTAAAGTTTTGATAAGCTGTTAAAGAAGATTATGCAGTTCTCGAAAATCTTCTAATCTTTTAACCGGGAGAGAAAACGTATGAAACAAAAAAAGGCTAATAACTGAATATCAGGACCAGTGGTGTTTGGAGCATAATCTTTTGTGGGCGTGGCTTCCGATTGTCATGTGACCATTTAAGCGACCCCCGGTTACCATTCTGGGCCTTGCCACCACGGGACGCTATGCTGGGCAGTTCTCTAACAGGCCTCAAGGCTCATGTCGCGGTATCACGGTGCTGACCACGTGGGTGGGGGGGAGTTTGAAGACTCCTGTCAACCAATTAGTGCGCCACCTGGTGGGAGCTCGTTTGTGCAGGCCGCTCCTCCCCCCCGTCGGCTGTGGGTCTGGCAGCCGAGAAGCCGTTGGACGCTTTGCGGGACGCCGATGTGCAGATGCTTCCGGAAGGCTTCCTGGCTGGGAAGACGGCACGCGCGCGCCTCTCTGCGTGTGGTCGAGGGCGATCGAGGGAAGCCTTCAATATTTACTCCCCGACACTTCGACTGTTTTTATTTCTCCTCCCCCCCCCCACCCCCCGATGCGTTTATAGTCACCTTGGCAAATTGCTGTTCCTGGATGGCATGCGACGGCAGCGAGCTTGCGATCTTTGTGCGCTACCATGCAGTTACTGCGATCCAGGATGAGATCGCTGATATGCGATATCTGCCATTGTAATTGTGCGAGATAATTCACAGCCATCGCTACAGTATAATATTCAGCACTGTATCAAGCTACCAAGGTTATTGGAGGTATATTGCTGTGATACGACTTTATTCTCCTTGTAAAATCCTCCACATATTATCTGGGACAACAGGGTGAATTTCTGTACTTTGTTCAATTAATATGTGCAATTCAGGGCTGGCACTGTGCCTCAGTAGTGCTCCAAGGTTGCGGGTTCGAGTCCTATCCCCTGCTCTGGGTACTCCGTCATTGCTCCCACTCTCCAGAAACACACATTTCAGTGAATTAGCATCAGAGTTGCCCATAATGTTACAGACTGACATCCCATCCACGGTGTTCCCCAGCTCATACCCCATAATACCCCAGGACAGGCTCCACCGCATCAGCAGTCCTTATTAAATTTATTGTTAAATTTATTGTCACGCTTCTCTTTAACGAAGCATCTTTGGTTCATTTAAGACCTCCCTGCTGTCCCGTGGCCGGTTTGAGCCGCCCCCCCCCACGATGCCGTCTGGCCGTTAACCGCCCGCTTTTCGGTAGCGTGCCGGTCGGCAGCAGCTGACAGCTGACGGTCAGACTCGCGGCCCGGCTCATTATCAGCAAATCCACCTGGAGCGGCATAGTCCTCCCCCCGGCCCTGGGGGGGGGGGGGGGTCACATGGCTGCCAGGCGGCTCATTGTAATTACACGTCACAGCCATTTGGACTCCTGTATCACTGTATTCAGGGGGGGGTGAGAAGCTACACTTTCATGCTTAACTTACAGCTTCTGGTTTGTCTTCGTTTCGTGTTTCTGTGCACCGAGCGGTAGGAAAACCGTACAGAGGTTTAGCTACGAATCCCCATCCTTCGATAAAACAACGTCTGTCAAACGTCTGTCATAATGTCGGTTACATCTCCTAGCTAACCACCAAAATGTAACACCTGTCATTATTTAACATCTTCTGGTAAAAACGGGAAGAGCGCTGAACGAATGGGTAACGATGGAAAAGGTAATGAAATAGCGTGGCACTCAGATTTTCATGTGTGTCCATGCCAGGACTGAAGGCGTGAATCAGGCCTGGTCGCCTTGCCCTGACGATGTGACCCTTCCACATCATCACTACACCTTTCAGTTTACAGTGCACTTGTTTCACCGCTTAAGCCTCTTATTTAGGCTGTAGTCAGACATATAAATCGTCCACAGAGAAAAAGCCCAATGTCACGTGTCAGTTGTATGTGGGCTCACACGCCCCTGAATCATCCCGATCCGTGGGGGCCTATGCCTGCTTTACATCCAGACCAACTTGCAGCCTGAAAGCTGATTGGCCCACTGCCCTGTCACTCACCGAATCAACACTCATCATTGGCTAATAGGGTTAGCCCCAGCTTCAGCCCCTTCGGCCCACTGATGCAGCATTGCAGGCACATTTACAAGTGTAGGAATGCCCCCCCCCCACCATGAAATCAAGCAACACGTTTGTTCAGACTTAGAATTTCTTTTAGAATTTTTTTTGGAGTCGCCACAAATGCCAAAATGTAATTTTTTTTTTTTTGCATGGCTTTTAAAAAGTGAGGGGGGGGGGGGGGCTTTGGACAAAGCTGTGTATTTCTGCATAGGGAAAGGAAGAGTGCATGCATGATGGTTTGGGGGGATATTTCCAAATTTAATTGTTTAATTCCAGCCCTTCCCATAAAATACTCTAGGAAATAGGAGGTGCTAACATTATTATCTGTTATCTCGAACACAGAGACATAGTGCAGCTGAATAATAACTAAACAAGTAATACAATGTAAAATTTCATTATCAGTGTATTAAAACAAAATTGTACCCTAAAGGAGTCTCCACCACTGCTCTGAGCAGCAGTGTAATTATGTTTAATTAAAATACAAGAGATCAACAGAATCGTTTTCATTAGGAAATTATTAATGATTTCTCTGCAACAATAATTGATTGCACTGAGCCCCCACGATAACTGTGCGCGGTCAGGCTGGAGAGACTAAGTACCGGCTGGTGAGCGGAGTCATGTGACTGTATTGGGGGGGGGGATGCTCACATGGGTTGACACGGCTTTGTGCGTGGGATTGCCACTCATTTTGACATGCTATGTACCCCCCCCTCCCTGCCCCCTTAAAAAAAAAAATTAGCTGCACCCCCTCAGGCCTGCTCGGACAGGTGGGCAGTGTGTGAGATACGGCGCACACCGACCTTCTGCAGATCACCTTGAAGATTACGAAGGTCGTAATGGTAATAATTGATATTTTATGAAAATTCAATTGGGCGGGGGGGGGGGGGGCGGATCAAGGTGCATGTCCGCTCTTCCTGTTCCTGCCGAGTCCTCATCGATCACCTAGCTATGGCATGGGTGTGACAAAACTGTGTGTGTTTCTGTACAGATCCGCGGACTCCCCTCCCATACAAACCCCCCCTCCAGCATCAAGACGAACTTCTCGTCTGCAAGGACCACAGTCTGGCGTAATTCTGTGTTACCATTGCAGTGTAATACAGCCTCTTGTCCTCACACCCGCCCAGCTCACCGGGGGGGGGGGGGGGGTCGGGGGTGGCATGATTGGCTGTGCGGGTTCCTTTCCGAATATGCATCTGTTTGAGTGCCTTATAAAGCTTTAGCAGGCCTGTGTCAGGCTGGTGCTGAATCCAGTCACGTCGGTTAATTATACCGCTATTGTGCTGCGACTCGGCTAATAGGCCATGCGCATTGTGCCCTCGCCTAGGCGCCGTAATCTCTCCACACTGCGCCCTGCTACATTTTACTTATTTTCCCAACATGCATAAACCACTGAAGGTAAATTGGCCGCCCCGGTGAGTGTGTCTTTTGTAAAAGCCGGCAGCCGAGCTCAGCCACCGTGTTTTAACTTACCATAATTGTATAATCGATGTCGAGAAATGCCTCCGTATCGATCCGCCGGGGTAAATTAGCTCCCCCACCCTCCCGCCCCCGTCAATCTGCTGTCAGGGGCGCCCAGCTTGGCTTTTCGGCTGACAGAGAGTTGTTCTGGTTGTCAAGGCAACGGTGCCGAGGCCCCTGAGACTTTTGGGCGCCGTCAGTGCGGAAGCTGGTATTTAGCATGGTGACACGTCACTACTTAAAGCTGGCTGGAAGTGTAACGTCAGGAGAGGAGGAGCCTGTCACCTCGGATAAGGCGGTCCCGCTGTTAACGGGAAAACCTAGATATTTCGCTTGATACGAGATGACCTGACATTTTCTTTCAAATATGTCAACCGAATTTCTTTACTTCACTAATTTCACCGCAGTCACTTCTGTTCTCAAAAGCTACACATTTGGTGTGTATTATAGAGCTTGCACATAAATCGAGAGAGTACACATGTACACATTATAGATAGTGACAGTATTGAAGTGTTCTTGGTGCACTTCACAGCATAATAAACCAGCCAGCGATTGTGGGAAACTCCAAAAAAGCTCAGGAGTATGGCCCTGACAGGAGTACAGCTCTCCAGTTTCCTGCTTTCCTTTGGTGTACAGAGCACTTTATTGAACAGACAGATAGCTACGCATGTGCAGGTACGCGATACATGTCGGGTTTCACATCTCGCTGCCTGC